GGCACCCCTCCCCCTCCCCGCCTTATTACAGGGAGCCGACACTAAGGAGCCGACCGTAGCGCAGACGCCCTCAGACCACCATCGCCACTGTCTGTGGAGAGCACCACCGCCCAGCAGCACCGGAACACTTTGCAGCCACACGGAGAGAGAGAGAGAGACGGGCCCGTAAAGCGCGCTCGGCCGCTGAGGTTTTCATTAGGGGCCGCCGCTGGCCGGCGCAGAGCGCTTCTCAGGCGCCTCACGCGGCCTGCAGTGCCAGCGGAGGCGGCCGCGCGGCGGATCGGCCGCCCCGGCGGCACTCGGCGCCAATTTCACGCCACGTTTGCGAGCTGAACCGCGGCATAAAGCAGGTGTAGTCGGCCCATTCGATACCATCTGCCCGGTCAGCGCGGGCACGAAGGTCGTATGAAGTGGACTGAGCGGTCCGCCGGGACGGGACCGGACAGTGCGCTGCAGCCTCTGCGTTTTCGGCGCGTCGGCAGGCACGCCTATTCAGTTTCTCACTATGGGCATATCGGGAATGGGACAAAAGTAGCGAGTGAAGTGGATAATGAATCATTATTGGAGTAGCATTGCTTTTCACGTCTGAAATGACATTACCGCTAAACTAGGTACCTACGTGTCTACAGTGAGAGACGTGCATCATCGAAAAAAATCATTGGTAGTTATAATAGCACTAATAGTAATGGGATACAGTCAAGCCCATTATTGCAGCACCTGGATCATAAACCTCTGTATACCGGTATACAGGGTCTACGTCCATGGATGCATATAACAGACATGACTGTTGTTTGTAAATAGCACCGCAAACACGCTATTTTCATTTTCATTTACTAACTATATTCACTTCACAAGGAAGTAGCGGAGCTATGAATATACCAGCCTTCATGAATATATGGCCAGACTATTATCACCATAAAGACAGACCAATGCATCATATGTCCAGCTGGCGTCTCGGTAAACGAGTGGCGGAACCCCACTTCTCTGGGGCATTTGTCTTGGGATCACCGAGCGGCAAAATAAACGTCCGGTACAGTCAACCACGACGTCACAGCTAATTGCATATAAACATTTCACGGAGGTGACCCTAATGCATCGCCATCACCTGACTTCAACCCAGAACTGTCAGAGTCAAGGTGAAATGACGCCGAGCTCAAATGTTGTGAATTTCGGCGCGGCGACCCTCTGCAGTGTTTTTTTAGACCTTGGCGCGTCAGCCTGCGACATAGGCATGCTCATGCAGCAGGAGCAGTAGGTAAGCACACAAAGGAAAAGATTTACCTACATGAAAATATAGTAAATCTTTAGAAATATATATTGTTATATAATAATTAAGCGTTAAGCATTCCGTGATCAGTAGCAATCACACGTAATAATTGGTTGCGTCAATCGTGGCAATAAAATGCAGAGCACAATGAGACATTTGACGCAGCTGCCTTTGACAATAAAGCAGATTATAACGATCGCAAAAGGTCTTAATAGGCTCTCAAATTACCTATAAGTTTGTCATATGATGTCCTCACAGGGCATAAATGCCTCATAAACAATTCAATATGCCCCTAGAATGAGCATTTGAACCGGAAGTCACGACTGGCGACTGACAGGGACAAAGGAATTTTTCTACACAGGGAATTGAAATGTGAACAGGAAGTAAGCGCTTATAAATGTGATTGGCTCGTTTCACCTGTCGATGGGTATGAGTCGCGCTATACTCGTATGCCAGCTGTTTTTACCATAGGTGTTACCCAAGTACCATATGTTTACCCAAGACTATAGAAAACCTACACCATGGTGTCGAGCCCAGGAATAACAGCGCACCAGCCAAGGTCACATATGTAGATAACATACCTACCTAAATATCTAATCACCGTGCATTAGCGTAACTAACTAGCTACCAACATCAGTGATTCGTTTTATTTCGCTCGTACATGATTCTATAACCCGATTGGATTTATGGATATGTGCGGCTCAAACCAGCCAGGCATGTAAAGACGTTCACCAGGCAAAACACCCATGATAATTTTCTCCAGAGGTGAATAAAACTCAAAAGCAGTCACCTACGCGATGTCTAGCTGTCACGAATTTTTACAAGCCATCTTGAAACAGTAGGTACCCTATTTTACGTTTTCTCATCACCTTTGAAGGCCAAATTTCGGCCTCTGGGCATTACAACGCATCACCACATTTCAGTGACACAGCAACAAAAAATAAATCACTTTCTTCCAACTTACCTAAAGGTCTGATCGATTTCCTAGCTTCTCCTGGCTCCTGGCTTCCAGATCCAGTTCAATCAGAACTCACGAAAGGATTGTCAGCTTTGTCACTGATTCACTTGCCTCTGCTTCAGCAGTCAGAAACAATTATCAACGCTCCTACCAAGTTTCTGGGACCGATGGTCATGGACCTCACCCCAGTTGTGGCCCAGATGTGACGTCCCCCATCCCAGTCGTCCGGTCCTCCCCTACTCCGTCGGCGGCCAAGGCCGCGCCGGTCCCCGCCACCGCTCAACCGACGACGAGCGGGGACGAGCTGTCGCGCTGTCGCCGTTTTTCCTGCGTTGTCTATGGCGATTCACAACGCACCGGCTGTCGCACCGGCGGGATTTTTCAGCCCCAGCTGTCTACAAAGAGATGACGCTGTTAAATTTTTGTGCCGTGGTCCATAGTGACTCTCTATGGGAAGACAGCTCTGATTTTAGCGGAAACGGCCTAGTTATCAATTTTAGATGCATTAACTAAGATGCTCGAATCTGTCTCCTTATTCCTATGGCTGTCACCTACGCACGCAGGCGAGTAGCAGGTTTTTTTCACCTCTGATTTTCTCTCGAAAGATTAGGAACGAAACCAAGGATGGCAAAAGTAAGCGCCTTCATTCGAAACCCCAAGTGATGCCAGCACATACGCATGGCCAAGTGTAAGCCATATCATCAGGACCAAGGTCTTCAAGTTCGCTCATTGTCCACATGAACCCCACCCAAGAAGTTTTCCAGTTTGATAAGTTCGTCGCGGCTGCGCTGCCTCAGCGTCATCATTGTGTCGATCTAGCACCTCTGGTTGCCGTATCCAGAGCGAAGTGGGCTGATTGGAAGGACCGGGGCCCAATAGAGCTCCGATTGCGGGCTGTGGTGGCCAGAGTAGTTCAGTTGCACTTTCAAAGACGGAACCTCTCAGTGGTGGTATTTGTTACCTAGGTAGCTCATTAATTTCAGGATAATCTTCACCCAAATGAATAACATGCTATCACTTGTGCTTAAGTACCTTTCCGGATTTCCGGCGTGACAAACTCTCACACAAATGGCGCCTCAGAGAAGGGTTAGACGGTGATTCGGGTGATGAAAATCCAATTACATTATTTAAAAAGTGTGGTTTAATGGCTGAAGCAACGGCGGCTGACGCCATGCTCTGTTAGTGATAATTCACCCTACAACAACGCATTAGGGCACTTGGGGCCACAGACTCAACATTGCATGTGATTGATGTGGGCAGCTCCATATAAACTTTTGTCGATATATCATATGAGTTATCATTACTCATTTAAACCCACCGTGCACCTGATGCTGCAGCAATGATGGCTCGCTGCGCACCTGTTTATGTTATTCTTCACCAGCTTTCAATGTGTTACTTCAGCGCCCCGAGTTCCTCTCCACCAACTCTGCCTCATCAACCGGCCCCCTGCCCCACCATCCCAATCTAGCCCTCCCACCGTCCCCATCTAGTCCCCCACCATCCCCCTCCGTCACGGGTCGCTAGCATTCCCCACCGCCGCGCTCCTCGAACGCCGAGCGGTGGCGTCGAGCTCATCATTCCATCTCTCCCGCCGTGTTCACACCCGCAGCGAGAACATCGACACCCACAGGAAGAGAAGTGAGAGGCCTGTCCGATCCGAGACTGTCCAGACCCGGTCAGAGGCCCGCCCGGCCCGCTCGGACCGCCCGGTGGCGGTGTTTCCCAGCTGATTTATCGGCCCAGAAGCAGCCACGCTATCCCGGCAATCTTCGCCGCCCGGACGCTTCATCATGATGCCAGTCTCATCGCCCAAAGTCGAGCAGTCACACTCCCGTCGCCTGAACGTTCAGAAAAAGAAAATGAATTGGAATATAATAGGCCGAGAGGTGCGCAAATGTATCGACAGTATTCACGGCATGATCAAACAATGGCCACGAGCAAATATGTAATTAAGTTGATGCATGAAGTGGTTCTCTAGAGCCATGGACTTGGCCTGGACAGAATAAAATAACAATTTCGCGGAATTTACTACCATGCTTAGACATTGAGTACACCGGCGAGGCCATTCGGGGGTCGCTTAACAAGATTATTTGAGTTCCCGGCCCAATAAGTGAAAAAGTGTTCAATTTCCGGTGCCTTACATTAGCCACTAGCCAGGAGCTCATGTGGTTCTTCCACTATATTAGGAGATCCCGCTACGTAACCGTAACCAGCAAACAACAAACAGCACGGTTTACGAGTATAACATATAACGAAAACATGTCATTCGAGTTTTCCTTATCACTTATGTCTTATAACAAAACAAAACAAAAGTTGCTATTGCGTGTGGGCTGAATCAGTCCGACTGCATGCAGATGAAACTGGCCAGATTAATCTAGGCCAGTGCTTTCCTACTCCGGATCGCCTCAGGTGTTATAGTAGAACCCAGTCTCGAGGGTACCGTTATGTTCAGATAGACTATGCAGCACCGCCTTCCAGCCCGTGCCTGTGACGCCAAATTTCGATACAGCGGTGTTGAATTGTTCACACAATTTCATGGGCGAGCCCTCTGTCATATTGTCAATAAGCTGAAATCCGATAAGGACAACTACTTGATTTTGTGAAGACAAGGACTTCTTTATATAAACCAGCGTTGCAGGCTCGGTATACCAGTGCCGAATGCCCGCAACCATTCCATTATTTGTGCATTCTAGTTTCCATTATCAAAGTCCAAAGATGTCAACTGCTGACCACTATACCGTTAGCGTAAATTAAGATGCAGATAATTCACATTCAATCCTTCCTTTTATCTCGGACACCAAATCAAAAGTTGATTCAATAACACAGACACACATATTCCTCTTATTTACATGCACCAGATTCCACCACCGAAAAAACAGCAAGTCTGGCACCTTCCGATCCCATCCATTGCGGAGTGACGTTACGCACGGTTTTGAAATTGACAGTTTGGCTGAATGTGAGCGATACCTTAGGCAAACTTCACGCACATACCTAGAGACACCGTGAACAACCTCTCACAAGTCCACTCCAGGACCAAACAGCGATCAACTCCACTCGCACACGTCTCCCGAGTGTCGCCCGGTTCATCAGGACGCCACGGAGGCGGCTGCGGCTCTCTCCGCCGGGGAGCGCGCCCTGCCCCAGGCCTGGTCCCTGACTTCTGACTTCAGCGCCTGCACGTCGGCCAGGATGCCGCCGACCTCCGCCACGGTGGCGGGCTCTCCGGCGCCCTGCTCGGCCCGGTCGCGGAAGTAGCGCTGCGCCAGCGCGGCCACCAGCAGCCGGTACTGGGCGGCTGTGTCGGCGGGCGCCAGTTCCTCCTCCTGGTAGCAGCAGCGGCGCGAGTCGCAGCGCGCCGTGTGGCCGGCCGTGCGCAGCATCGCGTGCCCCAGCCAGCTGAAGCAGCGCCACACGCTCACCACGCTCGGGATGAGGTTGAAGGGCGGCGGCATGGCCGGCTCCAGGATGAACGTGATCCAGACGTGTGTGCGCGCGAACTTCCACTCGGTGTCGGCCGACGCGTGCACCTCGTGAAACGTGCACGTCATCACGGCGATCAGCATGTTCATGATGATCATGCCGCAGAGCACGTGGAAGGCGGCGAACAGGATGTATCCGATGGCCTCGGTGAAGCCGTGGCAGTTGATGACCGGCAGCGCCGCGCTGCCGCCCGGGAGGTTCTCAATCACTACCGTCACCGACTCCAGATCATACAGTCCGAACAGCGTCCAGAACAGGGTGCGGAACGCCGAGCGCAGGTTCACAAACGAGTGCATCTGCACCGCCTCGTCGCCGTTCCCCAGCTTCCGCACCATGCCCTTGTAGTAATCAAACAATCTGTTCATACCAGACGAGAATGACACAACCACGGCGGCGAACAGCACCAGGAACTGTCCAACGTCGCTGATCATCTTGCCCAGCGAGATCTGCAGCGGTCCGAGCGTGGCGCTCAGCTGGAACACGTACAACAGCTTGATGAAGGCCAGGATGTTGGCCACGGCCGAGAAGCTCTCGCCGACCAGCGTCGGGTCGTACTGGTGCCAGAACTTGCGCTCCAGGTGCACGTTGTCGTAGTGTCGCACGTCGTACGCCGACACGGCCCAGCAGACGAACGCCAGGTAAAAGAAGCACAGCGTGATGGTGTCGTACCAGTGCCACGAGCTGGCGAGGAAGCGCTGGAAGCCCTTGCGCCAGCACTGGCGCGCGTGCGAGTAGGTGATGCTCACTACCCACAGAATGAGCACGTACTTAAGCGGCGAGTCCGGAGGGCCGCGCACCTGATTGATCTCGTCCAGAATCTCAGAGATAATGATCAACAGCAGAAATATCACCTGTGGCGGTGGGAATTGAGCGTCAGCGGTGCTGGACGTTATCATGCCTACCTAGCGGTAGTAGCCAGCTATTGAATCCAGCAGCTGTTGGTAAAGGTCAATGCATTGGCCGTAGTCGGTTAGCAAACATACAATCACGAAAAGCCAATCAGTAGGGATAGTCCGGCAAGCTACCCAGTACCCATATCTAGTTACAATATGTGCGTTTCACAACCTTCCATTCATCAAAAGATCGGCATTCTGCCGTTAAAATGACTTCTACCTGCCTTACCGTTCCTCAAATATCTGAACTGGCGACATGATGCTATGCGGTACAGCATACCGAGTCAGGCGCTAACGTCTACTGCCATCTAGCGGTAGGCAGGGAAGTAACGTCGCAGGACGCAGCAGACTTTGAGCATAAGGCAGTTAAAAACTATCAGTTTTAGCTCCTGTGGAAAAGCTATCTACCAGCTTGTACTATCCCCACCCCATAACATAATAAAGTTGTAGGCTGTGCGAAAAGTTTACAGCGTTTTAGCCATCCTTTCAGTCTTAAACTACGAGATGTGCTGTGATGTGATCGGTGCTTTGCCTTTCAGTGCCGACGTAAAACGGAGAGGATAAACATAACTTTCGGGCTGGACTCACATATGATGCCATCCAGTTGAGCCACTTGTTGATGGGCGAGTCCCAGTACGTGTTGAGTTTGGACCTCGGCGCCAGGATGAAGAACAGCGACGTGACGGGCAGCAGCAGCAGCTGGAACATAAAGATGGCCGACTTCTTGCAGAGCGAGTACTGTCGCCAGCGCTGCCGCCTGCCCAGCCACTGATTGGTAAACACCTGCTGAATCTTGGGGTGCGCCACGAACTCCTTCTGGCCCAGGTCGGCCGCCATCAGGATGCGGGGGTACTTGAAGGGCCGTGAGCCCTCGTAGCAGCCGGCCCGCTGGGTGACCACCAGCTCCACCTCCTCTGTGGTGCGGCAGTAGTCGAGCAGGCGCACCGCAAACTGGCGCACCTGCGACGACAGCTCGGTGTACTCGGTGCGGAACTCGGCCTCGCTGGCGGCACACTCGCGCAGCTCCTCAGAGAGCGTGAAACAGGTGAGCACCGGGTCGGCGGCAGTGTGACAGATGTAGGCCGGCGCCGCCATCGCCCGGTACGTGTGCAGCCGCTTCAGCGAGTGCGCCAGGTCCTCGCCGTCCAGCTTGCTGAAGCAGACGGCGGCGCAGAGGCAGTGCGGCGGGTGCGGCGGCTGCAGCCGGTGGCCGCGCGCCATCAGCAGCTGCACCATCTCGTAGTCGTCATTGTGCGCGGCCAGCAGCAGCGGTGTGATGTCCGGGGTGAAGGCGGCGCTGTCCAGGTAGCCGCGTGCCTCGCGGCCGGCAGGCAGCCGCTCCAGCAGCAGCTGGGTCAGCTCCGTGTCGCCGCCGGCCACCGCGTGCAGCACGCAGTCGGCCACGCGCAGCTCGGGCCGGCGCGCCAGCAGCGCCACCATGGCCGTGTCGCCACGCTCCACGGCTGTGTGCAGCGCCGTCACGCCCGAGAAGGCGGCGCAGTTGATGTCCAGACCGGGCGCCGACGCCAGGAAGTGTTGGACGGCGTCCGTGTCGCCGTCCTCGACCAGCGCCAGGAAGGTGCGCTGCTGGTCCGTGAGCGCCGGCAGCAGCGCTGACGGGTGGTAGCCGGGAGTCTGGCGGCCGGCCACCAGCGAATCGAGCGAAGCGCCCGAGTTCAGCGGCCCCGAGCGACTCAGCCGCAGTCGCAGCTCGATCTTCTCGTCACTCTCCGAGTCGGAGCAGGTGTCCGAGGACATCATGACGACAAATCGGCCAGTATCAACGCGTGCTGAACATAACTATCAGAGAGCCATTGATCTGCGGCTCCACTCGGTACTGAGACCTCCAACAGCGCCACCTACCAACTGCGAGACTGAGGCGCCCCCACAGAACAGCGGATGCATCGCGAGGCTCGGTATCACAACCGAACTTCTGTGAAATGTTTAGGCTCTGTCTAGGTTTAGACAGTTGCTTTTTCCTGTGTCTACGTTACTTTGAAGAATCTTCTCGAGACAAAGGAAACATAACTTTAACACAAAATATCAACACGTGCCGCCACTGAGGGGGGGGGGGAGTAATAGGCTCATGGAAAGGGTCCTAAATAAGTCCAAAGCAGCTCAAGGGACTCAAGGCACCAAACAATCGGTTCTAAAAGTTACAAACAGTTCACGTGACAAAGAGACTCGTGTTCTTTCAAGAAAAGACACTACGGTGGGTGTCAGAGGACCGGTCACAACGCAATCAATGATGAGAGAACGAAGCTCCCTAGAGCTGTTCAGTGTTCACGAAGCACAGCACTGTTCATGATCTAATGTCTACAAAAAATCCACCAAAGATGAATTGATCGCATGATTAAGCTAAAAATAGCTATGTAACATTTGTGTATTGTTAAGAAATGAAAGACAATGAAACAGTGTATTTATATACGCCGTGCAAAATCCTATAATTGATTCGTAGGCGTATCGCCTTTATAAAAGTTTCTTTACTATTGAAGCCATCTAGACCGTTTCATATCTTACTAAGTATTTCATTTTTTAAAGCACTGGGACAGTTGCCTGTTTTAAAAACAAAATAATGAAGACAGGGATCAATGAATATACAAGAGGAGGAGTGGGGGTAAAATGATATTAGTGACTCACCGTGTCTTGAACCATTACTGAGTATACTCAGCTGAAAACACAAGCAGAAAAAAGGCCAAAGCTAACTACATACAGGATGCAAGGGTGTCGTAACTCGTCCGTCAGGTGGCACCACTTAGAATCGCTCACGGTCTCCCGTTTCCCCGACGCTGAGTGATACATTTATGCAGCGCCACCGCCAGTACCGACATCATCACCAGCACCATACCAGCGACTGTGTACGGGCCGGGCACGCAATGGAAGAACGCCACCTGCCAGACGACAGCAAACACGATCTCAGAGGTGCGCACCACAGCCACCGGGCCGGCCTGCTCCAGCTGACAGGCCACCGTGAAGGCCAGCTGCATCACCATGGTGAGCGCGCCCAGAGCCAGCACCATCAGCCACTCGGCGGCGCTGGAGGGCGGGTGGCCCGCTCCGGTTCCCAGCCAGACGGCGTACGACATCATGGCGCCTACCACACCGAACACGAGCACGGTGGCCGACCAGTGGACGCTCTGAAGGCGGCGCAGCGTCACATACGCCGCAGAGAGGAACAGCGCGCTGGCGAGGGCCAGCGCCGCGCCCGCCAGAGACACTGCGTCATCGGCCCCAGCTCCTCCTGATCTCATCCACTTTGGACGGACAATCATCAGCGCCCCGGAGATGGTCGCCAGGAGCGACATCACGTGCAGTGCTCCACAGGGCTCCCCCAGCAGCAGACACGCCCACACGGACACAAACACAGGCGCACTGAGCAGCAGCACACTAGCATCGGCCAGCAGCATCCGACGCAGGGCGTAGAACTTGCAGATGAGCGCTGCCGCTCCCAGCACCGCGCGCAGCAGCAGCACCATGCGATGACCGCGAGGGAAGACGTCCTGTCCACGCCGCAGCGCCTCCAGGCCGGCCAGCGGCACTATGCTGAGGAACCGGAAGGCGGAGAGACAGGCCGGGTCGACGTCAGACAGCTGCTGCACCACCACGCTGACCAGTGAGGAGGACAGGGCAGCCACCAGCGCCAGCAGCAGGCCCCAGTGTCGGCAGGCCGAGCAGCGCCCGGCGCCCGGCGACTCCGGCTGAGGGCAGGGCGGGGAACTGCACCTACCGTCCTCGGCGTCGGTAGGCGGCGACCCACCATTCACCCGGGGAGGGCCGGTGTGAGGCAGCAGCGGACTGGTCTCGCTGTGCAGAGCGACACCGACGAGTGATTTGCCGCCGAGCGCATCGCACATAGTCTGAAACATAGGCAGACCGATTACAACAAATACGTTCGCTGACATTTATCTGGTTAGCTGTAGGATGCAGGCAGAGAAGACGACACCGCAAAGCTTCTTTTACGACTTTGAACTGTTAAAATAGACCCCATATATTAAAATGTTAAAATTTAAATAAACGTTTAACCTACTAGCCATTGACGGTAACATTCGGCAAATTATGCCGAAGGCATCGATTAAAAACGATCAAAATAATACCGACCTAAAACATCTTGACAATTACCAACACTGCTCGATACAAATTAGGAAGCAGACAACCCACCCATGCAGTCGATCCAAATGGTACACATTATGCAATTAAACGCAAAACAACAAGAACGATCCAGAACAGCACCACAGCAATATAGAAATTGCGGTACCGCAAACCCATCCCTCCCAGCTCCGCCCTAAGCAGCTCACCTCGCCATTACGGGGCGCCTTCCTGGGGCACGACTCAGCGACGGGTGTCATGACCACGACAGGACTTGTTGTCGACTGATTCCCAGCTGGCTTCGCCGGGTTGCGACCGGACATCGGCGATGGCGAGGGACGGCCATATCACGCACCGGGGTCTCTGTGGAGTCCGGGGAAGTCCTCTGCAGGGTCGCGGGCACCCCGTGACCCGCAGCCAGAGGATGGGAGCGGGGCGGACAGCTGCGGCTGGGAAGACCGGGACAGACCGGCGACCACTGGCTGCTCTAATTATATCTGCTGCGCTGTGGTTGGATGTGGTCGGGGTTGGTGATAGTTCTCAGAGTTCCCGAAATGCAAGTGTGACTGACTCACTGTACGTACACTTCTTACCTACTTCTACACACCATACATTCATTAATTAATTAACAATTACTACTTGTTCTGCAACTTAGCTCAAATTAACTGGACCAGTTACTTTTCCCTCGTTAACGAAACATGATGAACTGAGTTCACTTTTATTGACAGCTGTCATCAGATCTCTTTCTGAGGTGCACAAACGCCCCGTTCAGGCGTCGGCAAAATGATTCATCTATGCTCGTGAACAGTCAATTATGCTTCATACACACAAGGCGACAATCCTTTGTCACACATTGCTACCGAGAATCGACAGCATGGCACATGGGACTAGTGGAACAGTCGCCTACAGAGGTTCAATGTAAATGGACAGTCATTCTGATGTATGTGATTCACTGGCTTATGGTATTGTGGCACATTGTTTGGGTGGACTCTGTCTGCGTGAGAGTGCCCCTTTGCTCGAGGAGATTACAGGTACAACGGTAAGACCGTGGCATGTTTGACGGACATTTTGTGGCAACACTGAGCAGGTTGAGCTGAGGAGGTACGCGCCGAACTCGGCACGGCGCGGAAAACTGACGCACAATACAGGCAGACACGGCATATAAATAACACTACCGACGGCCGGACGCGGTACTGCAACTAGCTAGCTGACTCCTCGCAGCGCGTTTGTACACTGGTGTTTGACACAACGGGAGGCAAGAGGGTGGAGGCTGCGGCGCGCCGTGGATCACCGCAGTGGCCGCGGGAACCAGACGGGCAGGCTGGGCGGCAGGCGCGGCGGCCATTGGTGGCCCACGGCGCGCAGCAGCTGCGCCATCACGCCGGCGCGCAGCGCCTGGCCGCCCGCCGGCCGCTCGCCGCCCTCCGCCAGCGGGCTGATGCCCGTCACCTGGAAGGCGGCCATCACCAGCAGCGGCGAGGCCATGGTCTGATGCCAGGCCGTGGAGAAGATGTGCCGGAAGCAGGCCCGCAGCGGACACTGGCCCGACGCCTGGCCGTGCCAGCTGCGCGACTCCTCCTCGTAGCGGCCGGCCAGCGAGGGCAGCAGCACCCGGTCGAGCGGCTGCAGCGCGGCCGCATCCCGCTCGGGCAGCAGCAGCACGGCCACGTCGCTGTCCGCGGCCAGCCGCAGCGCGGGGCCGGCCTGATCAGACAGGTAGCGGTCATCGTTGACCAGCAGCAGCGCCGGCCCAGCCGGCTTTTGCACTACAAACTCGGCCATCCAACGCGCGAAGATGGCCTCTGTGACGGTGCCCGCCTTTGAGGTAGCAATGTGGAAGCCCAGCGACGACTCTCCGTCCAGCTCGTCGGGCACGGCATCCTCCTTAAAAACGACCAGCGGCGTGAGGCAGCGCCCGCTGGCCGCCACGCACGCCAGCACGTGCAGCGGCTCCGCCTTGTCGGCGTCCGGCTCGTGGCCGCAGGCGCGCAGACCCACCTCGCTGACGGTGAACAGACTGGCGGCGCCCACCTTCAGGTGCGCCATGGTGCGCTCCAGCGTGCGGTGGAAGTCGTCCCGCGGCGTGGCCGGTACTGCGGGCACCGCGGCGCTGCTGACGGAGGTGGCGGCGGCCGCGGCGCCGGCGGGGGCGGACGTCGGCGTGTCCGCGGCGGCGCACTCGCCCGCCTCGGGCGCCTGGCGGCCGCCGCGCCGCTTCAGGATGGTGGCGTGCTCGCCAGTCTCGCACGACTCCTTGTAGTAGTCGACGAGCGTCTGGCGCGGAATGCCGTGGTGACGCGCTGCCGCTGTCATGTTGCGCTGGCCCGTGTGCACGTCGCGCAGCGCCTGGCGCATGCTCTCCGTGGCCCAGCGCGCGTGGCGGCGCCGCACCGGGCCAGGTGGCACCTCCATGCCTGGAAAAATGGAAAGACATTATTTTTATCTAGTATAGCTGCAATGCTATCTACTTATTGCATCATTAATATCTGAGAAGAGCAGATATATTATGTGTTGTAATTCTTCACCAAACATGTTAATTAAACCATTCCAGTTTTAGAGGGTAGGTACAAGTAGAAAAAACTGCAGGCAACGCATGCAAGGGCCAACCTAAAATAATTATTTTGTAATTCAATCACATTCTACAACATATACATTTTACAAATGCGTAGGCATAAGGCCATCACATTTTGCATGTTGTTTGTTAGATATTGCTTCTGCGTATTTAAAGAAAAAAAAACTTTAAATTTATATTTGCATGAGATAAGAATCATGTTTTGCACTTTCTGTCAAGTAAACACATTAAACAAACAACTTGTTTTCAAAGTGGACAATGAATATCTAGTACGTAACAACCCATTCTGAGATTATTTTCTCCATAAATCCTCTCTGGTATAGTAATGCGCTCTAGAAGGATTAAGGAATGTCTTATCATAGATACAGCCAATCCTGTTTCCATTACCTCTGCATAGTCTGATTTGATGGAGATAATCAATCCCCTTGAGAGTTTCTTAATAATTCGCAAAATTCATTCCTATCAGCTAAGAGTTAGCCAC